TGAGCGCGGCGTCGCGGTGCTGTTTGAGAAGTTTGTGTCTCGCTTTTAAGGTGGTTTTTATCACTTAATTGATTCCTTACTTCAGATTCCTTGGTGTTTGCTCTGTTCCTGAACTGGGGCGGGCAGATACCCGGCTCTGGTTTATGTTTCTGCAAAAGGCTTTTCACGAAGGCTCCGGTGTCCGAGTAACCGCCTTCGTTAAAATTAACTGTACATGCTGCTGCAGCTTCTGGGAGATCACACGTGTGAAAGGCTCTTCTCTTTCCTAGCCTGGTTGTTTTTAACGGGAGATCACACGTGTGAAAGGCACCCTTCTCTTTCCTAGCTTGGTGGTTTTTAACAGCTCCCGGCATGGAAGGTGCTGAGGTCAGTTCTAGTGTCACGGAGGAGCAAGGACAGCCTCTGCCCTTTCTGGAAGAGGAAGAAAAAGATCAAGCTGGCCGGGTCTTTCACATGGAAGAATGCTGGGAAGGTGAAAATGATGAGTTGTTTTGATAATTCACAGAAAAGTAATGTTAACGTCCCTCTAATTTAGATGGGAACAGTGCAGCGTTGGGGTTGAATGATAGAGCGAAGCACAGGGCGGCTGGCTGGGGTCTCCAGCACCACGCTGCGCAGCTGCCAGTGCTCCAAGTTGAAGCCGTTGGCTCTGTAGTGGGGCGTTCCCTGCTTTTCACCTCCGCAAGGCACTTGGATTCAGTGTTATTGGTGGTAAAAGTCTAATGTTTGACTGTTGGCCAAAGCCTGTCCGTACATTAGCCTCCCCTCCGCCCCCTCTCTGGTTCTGTTTGAGGCTTTTTCCGCATACGTTGGGTTGTTGGTGACACTTCCATAATGAAGGCAGAGAGTATTTTCCTGTTGGGGTTTGCAGGTGTACAAGAACAGTCCTGTGTGCTTTGCTATATGAGTTTTTCTTATATATGCTGCAGTAATGCTATAAAATGTCATCCCTGATCTCTGTGTTTTGACTTGGCAGCAAGTATACTAGAGCTTTGCATTTTAATGTTCACAGTCTCTATTAAACTGTGGTTTTAATGTCTGTTAGAATACAAGCTTGAAGAAGAGTTGGCTGGTGGTGGCAAGATGGGAGACAAGGCTGCTTTTGAAGGAGCTGCAGACAAATCTGATTCTAGCATGTAAATAACTTGTTACTGGTTCTTACATGAATTGCCTTTATAGTGTTAACTTACCTTTTCAAGTGTACATTTTTTCAGTTAAATTATTCATAAACCTCATAGACCTCTTCACAAAAAATAAATTATATTGATTACTTCTGTTTAACCAATGCGCAGAATAAGCTCACTACGGTGGGCTTGGACTAGATGACCTTTAAAGGTCCCTTCCAGCCCAGCACGTTCTGTGAAGACAGACTCTGGACCCTTTAATTTGAAACTATTGTGTGTGTAACACGATGATTGCGTCACATTACTGTGGACTAATGGGCTCTTCTCAAAGCAGTGTTACACTAACCAGTGTTCGCTTCTTCTGAAACCCAGCCAGCTCTTCATGATAATATGTAGTGTTGGGTTTTTATCCCTCTGTGCTCACAGAACATCAGGAGCTGTTGGAAAAAGAGAAGTTGGTCTACTGAAGAATATCAATGTTGGATTGTAAGTTTTTTTAATATATACAGAGTCTATTAGAATTGGTCTGGTGATAGATTAGTACTACGTTGATTTTAGAAGTAGGTGGTACAGCAGATCTGTTCCTGAGGAAATAAATTTACATGTATTTACATGCATGAAAAGGAATTGAGTGATTTGAATGTGGCTTTAAGTAGTTGCTGCTCTCTCCACAAAGATCGGTGCAGCATAGGGCTATAAGGTGTGATGTAAAGCTCAGATAATGTTTGTTAGTATGAGACATTAGCTCACCCCACAAACTGATCAGCTATGTGTAAGATGTTTTAAGCTACTTTAGAGTGTTCCCATTAATGTTTTAAAGGATTGTTTGGGAGAGGAGCCACAAACGTTTCAAAACAAAGATGTAATTAATGCATTAAATGTGGGTATAAATGTTCAACATGAGATGTCCACATCTAAAAATCTTGACTTAAATGCAAGTATGTAAACTTCTTGTCCAGATCATTTCTGGGTTTTTTCCCTCATTTATAATGATGATATTTGTAGCAGTTCTGCTAGAATAAACCAAACCAATCCACAAATGTGCAAGTGGAGGACGAACAAACTTCTTGTAACTTTTCAATTCCTCATTACGTTTTCATTGTTAATCACGTGTTTCAATTCAAAGGGAAAGCTTGGAACACTGTTTGGGTGGCGTTGATAGTATTCATGCTCTGAAGGATGCAGATAGAATTGGCATATTAACCTTACAGAAGAACCTAAAAGAGCTCAATGACATAGCCGAAGAAAAGGAGCTTCTGGTCCAAAAAACAAGGTTAGTGTTTAAGCCAACATCGCTTAAATCACCATCAAATACTGGGCTATTGTGTCTGTTAGAAATGTTAGAGTCTTATCAGAAAGAATAAAGAACTTACAACATATAAATAATCTGTTTGTTTCTTGCAGAGACAAGCTGAGTACCTGCCAGCTGCGGAGCAAGATGCTGGCAAAGCAGCTGCGTTGTGTGGATGTGGAAATGGAGAAAGAGGAGGAGGCTGGCAATGTGTAGGTAGAGAGGATTTCTGGATACCAAAGATTAGAGGCATCCGCTATGTTTTATCTTCATACCGTTGAACAGTAGAATTTTTAAGTGCAAATGTTGATAGATCAGTGCTGAGACCCGTCGTGGTTCTCAGGTCAAGTTTAACTGTGTTGGCTTGGGAGGCTGTTTTTTCAGCAGTAGTTCCTCCTTTTAAAACAAAGAAGAATGGTGCATTGCCTTGGGAATCATTGATTGCTTTCTGGTCTAGAGGTAATATTCTGTTGGGTAGATCAGTGCAGAAAAAGGAGGAAACTTGAGAATGGATAGGAAAGAGCGTATCTTTTAAATTAGAGCAACAAGGGGTTATTAGATGAGCCTACTGTTAATTATGTTTATCAGGGTCTCAATCACTTCTAATCGGCGTGATGAACAACAGCAATGTGCTCTGGTGGTTTTAGAGCTCAGGGGTTTGCTTCTGGTGACTATTACAGTCAGGATTTTTATAGATATATGCCGTTTCTTTTCTCTTGTTTCATGTTGTGAAATGCGTGAATGGCTTTCAGGAGTAGTTCTGCATACAGGAGCTGTTCTGAAACACTTCTGCTCTAAAGTGGGAGGCAATTTACTGTACTCTTCACATTTGGTTTAAATAGAAAGAAGTGGGTGGCTTGTGTACCGGGGACCAGTGTATTGTGAACAAACTTTGCAGCTGCATTTTATGGCCTGTGTTAATCTTTGAGTTCGTAGATCGATGAATGGTAAAGGCAGGTTAACTGCCAAAATGGAGTAGCTGCTTAAACAAAACCGAGGAGTTGAATGCTAATGAGACTCCTGTGATGGGTGCTGGTACTCCCTGTTCAGGACCTCCAAGAGACAGCCTTAGTAAGAAAACCAACAAAGGCAGAAGGGCATTGTGGAAGTGTTTGGGCTTATGCCAGGTCAAATTGCGAGCTCTAGGTATGCAGAAAAGTAGCAATTCTCACAATCTATTATATTTAGCAAGTTGGTAGTGAAGCAAGATGACTTGGTAGCTTTCTGGCTTATGCAGCTCAAAGGCATCATGTTTTAGCAGTAATGAAAGTCCTGGCTGCCATTAGCATTGCTGATGCTCAGTGCAAACAGTTTGAAGTTAGAATCGTAACGGCAGGTAAAGGAGCCATTCCCAATTTTCATTTTGAGGAAGGGAGTTTATGCTGAATGCAGTCAGTTCACTGTTCATTCGGTAGCGCCCTGCCTGCTAATTTGCCTGGGTGTGGAACGAGGGAAATAAACAACGGGGTGACGACACTGCTGTCGTAGGCGAAGTACATGGAATATTGTAATTTTAAAAGCAAAATCAGTCTAGGTTCTCTAGGTTTGCCTAAATACCGCTTTTATCAGCTTGAGAAATGAATGGTCACATTAAGCTACTGGTCAGTGCTTTTGAAACAAATAGTTCTCTAGATTTCAGCCAGCATGTAACAGTTTAAAGAAAGCTGGGACTTTGGATGAAGAGGGAATGCTTAGAAAGCTAAATAAGAGACTGTATGAAGTAATAGAATCGTAATACATCAATCTCTGCCTTGAAGCTATCTTTTATTGTTGATGATCTTGTTGGGGGGCTTATTTTTTTAACCTTTGTTAGTTCCAATTTCTTTCTGACTGTGTCTTTTTAATGTTAACAGCGCAGCCTTGTCCCGCCTTCAGGCAGTGCACAGACGGCTGCGCGCTGAACTGCAGAAAGAGAAGGATTTTGAGTTGAAAATTGCTTCGACACTTGAAGAAAACAAGTAAGTGGGAGAATAAGAAAACAGGGTGATGGGAGTCAATCTTTCTTATGTTCTTCATATGCTGTTTAATGGATTCAGAAATTTACTACAGAAGTTAATAGTAAATACTGAACTACATCATTTGACCTCATGTAATAGCTTTAAAATGCTTTACTGGTTTATTGTGTGATTAGCAATAAATGTATGAATCTCTATATATGTATCCATAGCATATCTGAATTCCTTCAGCAAAGCACAGAAGAATAAAAGCTATGGCCTGTCCCTTAAGTTATCTACTGTTGAAGAAAAAGCTGTTTTTCTAATTTTTCTTGGTTTTCTTATTTTTTGGGTATCAGTATTTCAGTGAAAATGGCTCACACTTTGTTTTAAAGGCTTGTGATGTGGCAGATAGAAACTGAGCAGGGAAAATATGAAAATCTTCGTGAACAACTTAAAAAATACGAGGATGAGCTAGAGATGCAATACCAAGAGCGAGCAGAAGTGCGGATTTGGAATGAAAAAATAGCAGCACTGCGAGCAGAAGAAAATCATCGGTCTAGAGAAAAGTAAGTGCCTACAAGTCAGTCTCTGCTTCCTTTCTCTGTATGATTTTTAGCCAGTTCACTATTCCAGGTGTTGAGAAGATGAGCGAATTCAAATACTAGAGCTATTGTGTTTCTTAGCTGGACGTTACTTTAGGAATGCTTTATGAGGAAATGGAATTAAAATAAGAATTGCCCACAGTCTTGCAATTCTGCAGGTAAAGATTTCTGAAATGAGAAAATAAAGTTGCTAAAGACATAAACTGTGAATGCTTTTTGTCTAAGGACATGACAGTTTTTTAATCAAACCGTGTGTGTCTGCACTGTCGTTGGCCAGAAGGGCCTTCTGAACTTATGATCAAGTTTATCAAGATTCCTGGAGACAAAGCAGACACCAGTTTATCAATTTGTGTGTTGGTTTTGTGAAAATGAGAGACTTTGCCGGAGAGGGGCAGGTGGGTGGTGACTAATGTCCTCGTTTCAGCAATATTAACAACCCCACCCTTAGATGTCATTGTGTTGAAGTCGAGATTTCCTTAGTCCTGCTGCAACTGTTGGTTCGCCCATGTTTTTTAGAAAAGAGGAGGAAGCCCAGAAAGAATACGAAGAAAAGCGTAAAAAAATACTTGAAGATGCCAAAAGGAACCATGAAAAAGCAGTCTGCTTCCTGAGGAAAAGCATAGCAAGGTTGTTCATTCCTTTTTGGTCACTGTACCTTTTCTGCTGTACAGTACTTTATCCTTTGGTCTTTGAAAAAAGAATCATTTTTCTGCCAGGTGTATCGTCCTGGAAATCTTCTGCCACAGCAGCAGTGCTGTGGGGCGTTCACGTCTTAACGGCACAAACAGACTTTGAAAGAGGGAAATTCATTTAGTGTCCTCGTATGGTCTGCCGACTGCCTGCAGCTGAGGGGATGGGCTCTTTGCCGAGATGCAGAGGGGTCTGGCAGCTTGCAGGCATTGAAAATTATTTTAAATATTTTACATCTGCTTGTGTCCTTAACTGAAGTAGTTTGAAGTAGTGTACCTAAATTCTGAGTTTAAAACTTGAACGCTGTTGTTTCATGTTCCCTCTGAAATGTGGTTAAAAGGTTTCTTGCTCTCTGGTAAAATTGGGTGAGAGGCCATTTTTTTGGTGCTCTTGTTCTCTTCATGGGTTTCTGTTTCTGTAATTATGTGGTGTTGAGTTATTTTGCCGCTGAAGAAACTGAACATTTGTTACTTACTTTTACTTTATATACTAGGGCTTAATTGAAAAAATGATTGAAATAATTGTACTGTTCCCGTGTTGGTTTATGTTTCATTAACTGGCATGTGCAAACTTATTAAGAAAAACAAACAACAAAATACTATTTCTTTCCTCAGTAATGTATCAAATATATTGTCCTTCCTAAACCTTTTGCGGTTTACCATTACATTGGGTGGATTACTCTCAGGCTTGATTCACACCCATTTATGTCTGGCTTTTAGAATTTCTAGGGTTTATTTTTAGTGTGGGTACAAGCAGCTGGCTTGTACAAAGTTCACTACATAATTGTTAAAATATTGGTTATATGAGCGACACCTGAATTCTTGCTTTATTTTAGCAGCTAGACATATGTCGTAATGCGGAACACATTCTTCATATTCAAAATTAAAAAAGGAAAAAAAAAGTTGTTGAGCAAACTAGTTGAAAGCCTGTTGGCACTTGTAACTTGAGCGGTACCGTATATAGAAGAGTCTTCCAACTGTTCCGCTTTACCCACACCCAGTATCATAGTAAACACAGAGGCTTATGGGAAGAGTGTTTAGTGACATTGACAATTACTACTTGTCAGGTTAAACATTCTAATACTAAAAGCTTTCCAGGATATGAGCCTGAAAGATTTTACTTTGCTTACAGAATTCGTGAAGAAAATGCAAAGGAAGAAGCGAAAACTCGGGAGCATATGGAGAGAAGGATACAAGCTGTGCTGTCCCTGAAAACCAGCATCACTTCCAATAGGGTACCGCTGCCGGGGCTTACATGGGGAGGGAAGAAATCAACTTGTTAGGCTGCTAGGTTTTAATGCAAATAATTTCAGTTTTCACTGCAGAATTGTCGTGTCATGCTGTCAGATCACCCATCAGATCTCTTGCAACTGGGGAGAATTTAACCGTGGGAGTAATGGGGTTAGATTTGTATGGGCAGATTCTGATGCTTCTACTTACAGAGTTTATTCTGTCGACAGCATAGTTGTTCTGGTAGGGCAAGTCTTGAAAATAACGCGTACTGCAAATAAGTTCTCTGAAAACTCAGCCGGAAGCATTTCCAGTTATTTGGATCGCAATGCAGAAATACTTCACATGGAGAAAACATATGGAAGAAAAACAGTTACTTAAGAATTTAAATAATGTAAATTAAGATTTTCTGAGCTATGCTACTTTGCTCTGTAGAATCTGAGGGAATTACCTTAATTTAATAGTGATTTGATTAGAGCTATGTCTTTTCCCACTGCTTCATTGAGGAGCATTTCAAGGGCCGGCTAGAAGGTAAAGACATTCTAACCTGGTCAGAGCTTTCTGCACCTCGGTGTACCGGGGCTACTGTGTGTATTAAAACCAGTAGGTTCTACTTCAGAGAAATCTGCCACAAATTTCTCGTTAGATAAGGGGACCAACACTGGATTCTCTGTTTTATATTCTTCGATACGTGAATCAAATGTGTAACCAGTTCATATTGCTTCACAGGAAAAACTCCAAGCTCTCCAGGCTTGGAACAAAGCAATGGCCATCAAGGCAAAGAAGGAGGAGATGAAAATGAGGGAAGCTATTCTAGCAGAAGGAGGCAATGTTACCAAGGAAAATTTTCTCCATAAACGACTGCTAGAGCACGAAAAAGAGAAACAGTAAGTCTTCCTATCTAGATCAAACTCCCAGCTGCTTACTGATGCTCCTACAGGAATATATTGGAGCTCTTAATCAGCTTCTGCAAACACATCGTCCTCGATGCTGTCTCAAGGGAGTGAACTCATTACTCTGTATGTGTGATATTCGTATGTTTTCCTTTTAAGTGACTTGAATTTCTAGTTTAGGTGTATTATTCAGAGATCCAGAGTTAGGAGTCCGTGTTCTATGAGTACTGCGAAGATAATCTACTTCAGGAGGGAAATTCAGTCAACCTAAACTGGATGCCTGAAGAAACTGTACTTCTGCATTTCCTGAACGCTGTCCCTGTAAAAATGGAACAACTTATGCTTTTAGAGACAGTCTCTGGAAGACTGGCCTGCAGTAAGGTCTGGCTTTCAGATGGGCAGTTTTCTTTAAATAGCTAACTGGGTTAGGAAAATTATTTGAAAACTTTGTTTTCAGTAGCAATGACTGGTATGCTTAGTCAACTCCTCAACTTCTGAAACACTGTAATTGAGTATATTTAGTCCACAAAAATGTATAAATAGCTTCTGAATCGCCTGGTGTCCTGACAGAAATTACCACTGTGCCCAATCCAAAGACTTGAGCTTAAAGGCTCAAAGGAAACCGTGTTGTATTTAATATTATTAGCGAACAACCATGGCTGGTTTAATATTTCTTATGACATTGGATTACAGAGCTTCTAGAGAACAGCAAAAATCCAGAAAAATTGAGATTGTATCGAAAATTTTGCAAGAAAAAGCTTCTGTTGACAAGCAGAGGAAAAGTCAGTCCCATACTAAGGCACTTAAGGGCGGTGGTAAACTTGAGGATTCTTCACTGTGGAGAAGGAAAGCCTGGCGATACCTTGAGAAGACTTGCAGACATTCAGCTGGAGCAATATCACAGGTGAAAAAAGGCCTAAGAATTTGTCTGTGGGTTTATTTTTGTCAAAAAAGGTTATCATGTGATACGCAAAACATTTAAAACCTACAGTCAGTATTCTCATGCCTGAGCACTAGTTTCTAGCCTCCTGTAGCGTACGCTTCATGTCATATAGATGCGTTTAGCATAAAATTTTGTCTGTATTCAGTGTCTTAAGAAGGGATCTATGTCTCTGGCCTCTGAGCTGTCATTTTTGTAATAAAAGATCTCCTCAGAATCTGTTAACTGTTGAAGTAACTGACCTCTAGTAATTTTTAACCATGTCTTCAAAATTTGTTTCTTCACAAAAGTCGTGGTGCTCTCCGTCAGCTCGTTCCTCAGCTGGTGAGAGAGCTGCTTCTGTAGGAGCAATTTCTGAAGAAATACCCCATGATATCCTTTGTGAAAGTGATGGAGATGAAGAAGAGAAGGATGAGACCCTAGTAGAACCAGAGTTCCCAGGACTTTGGAGTCAGGAATGTGACTTGCACAAGGTAAATGTTGTGACAGCTCTTACTGGGAATAGAAAAGAAAGAACAGTGGATGAGATCCTTCTGTAGTTGACTCATTATGGAGCTAGTTTTTACAAAATGTTGATAGTATCCATAAAAGTATCTTAATGAATTAGAGAAGTCTAATTTGCCTTTCTAGTAGTTGCAGATGTCTGAAGTCATGACATTGGCAAGTGCTGTTTTAGGAACCTCGCTTAAAACCAATAATTATCTCTCTTGCAGTTAAAATGCAGACTTTATTGTGTAGATGTAGAGAGTCAGCCGTGAGAATGTCATCAGAATGATTGCTCTTTGACAATCTCTTGTAGCGTTTGCTCTCTTTAAGAGAAAAACAATGCTTCAAGTTTAGTTCAGAGATATGTGAAGACACACATCACGTCGTGTTCACTTGTTTGAGTTTAAAAAAACCCAACTGAACATGACTTTCTGTTGAGTTGGCAACACAAAGTGCTTTATATGGAAACAACACCGTATGAGGCAAAGAAAAGCCTGTCTTCTAGCTGAGTACTGGTAAATAACACACTCTTAGAGAGTGGAATTTTGTAGTTAAAATCTTTATAATCATTCAAAAATAAATAGCGTCAATACTTACTTCATATACTTGCATGAAAAAGTGCTGGACCATAACCGAAACGTTCCAGTGAAGTTAGCTGATTTTTTCCTGAATGAGTATTTGGTTAAGAGGTTGAGAGCAAAATACCCACTATGACTATAAGTATTACTGATGTTCTTTATTAGGCATCCAAAGAAGAAACGGATCCAAAGCAGCTGCCTACAACGGTAGTGAGAAAAGAAGTTTCTGAGAAAAAACTGAAGGAATTTAAACCTGGAATTTTTCACAAGCCAATAGCGTCTGGTCGTGAATGTAAGGGATGTCCTTTCTATAGTAAACCCAGCTGCATTCTTTTCAAGGTCAGTGTTACACCCTGCATAGGATCTATAAAGGTGATGTGTCACTGTACGTGTGTGATCCTGGCAGGGACTGTGAGCACAGCTAGGGGAGTAGTAGCTGGGTTTGTCATCACACGTGTGTTACTTCCTGTAACTCACACCACCTGCTCTGTTTGGCATTCCAAGGATTTTGATGTTGGTCAAATCTACAAAAAGAAGATAGTTTTGATAAACGCATCCCTCAGTGTGAATTTCTGCCGGCTCATTGGAATCAGTGAATGGCTCAAGAACTTCATCAGCGTTCGGTAAGCAAAGCGAATTAATTGCTTGTTTTACCTTTGTACCATAAGAGGAGCTTCTGTAGCAAACTAAATTTGCAGTTTTATGTTAATTATCTCCATAGTTTTGACCCACCTGGCAAAATGTCTGCTGGAATGTCCTGCGAAGCAGTGGTAACGTTTAAGCCGATGGTAAGTGCAGCTGAGTGCAAATTCTAGTATAAGCCACTGGTCTGATGGAAAGCATCATTAATTTAATTTCTTAACTGTTAACAAGGAAACAAACTAAGGTCCTGTTGTACTTGGACAACAGTGTCTGTGCTCAAGCTCTGTTAAATAAGGCGTGTTCTAAGCACGTGGTTTAGAGCAATGCCTGCCCTTGGGTGTTCCTGCTGTGTGTTTTGAAGCTTGCTTCAGGAGACGAGTTGTGTAACGTGATGTGGCTATAGTTAGCCGGGAGGCTACCGGAGTCTGCTTCCAAGCAGACATGTAGAATCCATACAGACAAATTTTAATGGGTTAATCAAAAAATGAATGAAAATGTTTTTCATCAGACTACATGGGCTAAATCTTTGCGACTTACTTTGGTAAACACTTTTGTGTGGGTTTTGTTTGTCTGTTTTCTAGATAAATGAAACTCTGGAAGGAGAGGTCATGTTTATGGCACAGACGGGTTCTTTTTCTGTTCCGTTGAGATGTACAGCCAAGATGTGCATTGTAAGTGACTTCTTAAAGCATGTGCAGTCAATGTAACAGTAAGAGAAAATGTGAGAAAGCATAAACATTATAAAAATAATATTTACCAAGTATTTATTACTCTTTTTTTTCCTTTATAAATGGAAAGTCTCTTTCCAGAAAATTATTAATTCCTAAGCTTGCCAGAATACAAACTCATCTTAACGGATTTGCTTAACTATGAACTGTAACTTTAGCTTCAGAGTGGAATTAGCCAAAGTAGTTGTGTTTAGAAAGGGATGGCTCAATGTGATGCTGTGAATGGAGGAAAGAGAACCGGTGGCTGGAAAGCAGTTGTCTTTTTCCTTGGAATTTTTGGAGATTTCATCCCAGACCTGCAGTAGTTTATTCTTAACTTTTACTTTTCTATGTGGACAAAAATCAGACAATATCTATTTTAATTTTTAAAAGGCTTTAGAGACATGAATATCTGTCTGGAGTTTGTGATATTACATTCCAGTAAAGACCAGAATTTAATCTGTTTTTTCTATTGTCATTTAGCGGCCTGAAATGAAAGTGGCTCAGTTGAACAAGACATTGTTTTAAGAGTTGTCTCTTACAAAAAGGCCGAAGGATACCCACAGTTCATGTAGTTATTTGATGCCATCTTTGAAATGCTAATAAGAGCTTTAAAGTCTTATTCTGGAAAAGGTGGATGCTCATTTAATTGACATTACCGACTATCTGGGACGGTAGTAATTGATGGTTTACTTTCGCACAGCTGGCAGTAGATAGAGAGCTCATTGACTTCGGCAGCCATGTGGTGGGAGAGACAATTTCACAGACCATCAACCTGACCAACAGTGGAGCTTTGGGAACCAGATTCAAAGTTCAGACATCAGCAGGCAACAGCAATACACGGAGAGCAACAGCAAAGTCTTCTGAAAGAACGGTGGGTTCAGAAGTGTTTCCTTGAATTTAGAGAAACGTTCTGCTTTGCCAGGTGTGGTAGTGTCATACAGAACCAACAGGGATAATTTTTGGTAACATTTTAGTAATTTATGTCATTATTCCTACTTTCTCCACATCCAAGAAAATTAGGAGATAATACTTTAGTTAAAAGAGTAGATTCTGACAGAGTAATTTAAAGTCCTGTCCCTCTGACTTCAGTAAAATGCTGACTGTTTCAAAACTAGCAATAAAGTAATCGGAGTTCGGAGCATGAGCCTTTAAAAGTTCAGATATATTTTTTTAAATTCTAAGGAAAGGGCTGACCTCTCTTTTAAAACACTGCAGTAAATAGCATGTACCGCGAAACTGCTGAGCTGTTCACTGTCGTTTTCAACTCTCATATTATCCTTACGTTAAAAGCTTGGTTCAAATAAAGAATTTGTGAAATAACACCATCTGTATCCATGGTTTTCCTTCTGTGTGCTGTCTTCTGTAGGTGTGTAATAAACAGAAGTCTAGTTCTAGCAGGCTTAGTTTTGACATAGAACTGCTTCTGTTTTCAGGAGAAGAATGTTAGTTCTGTTAATTGTAAAATAACTGACACTGTACTGTATTGCTCCCGTTATTTTATTTATCTGTTTGGGGCAGCCAGCAAAAATTAAATCTGCCCATTGATAAATGTCTGCTAGAATGTGCAGTCTTTGGAAAGTGCAACATATGTCTCCATTTATAATGTGGCCCAGCTGTAAGAAAACACAGGTTGGGTTTGCAACTGCTTGATGAAATTGGAGCTGGTGCAATCTAGGTGACCAGCCACAGTAGAAACTATTTTTTCTGGGTTTTCTAACAGGTTACTCAACGTCTCAGTGACTGTGTCCCTGAAAAGAAAGTCAGCAACAGTCCTGTGACATCTGTGGTTGAAAAGAAGGAACAAATTTGTCCTGACCACGGTGCAGAAGTGCCCTGCTGTGCAGCCCAGGTGGAGCAGCAGAGGACTGGGACGAGCGTGAGCAGCAGCCCCACAGGTAAGACAACTGGCTTAGAAATCCGACGGGGCAGTTGCCCGGCCTAAGCATTATCCGTTTGCAGGTTCCTGTAATGAGCAGTGGAACTCAGTTTGTGAAGTTGGTAAATTAAATAGTTCATCATTCTGGTAGTAACGTTGTATTTCTTTGTGTGCTGCCTCACAAAAAATGACTGCACGTACTGTGCTGACACCATTATATCAAAAGCGGCAGAGAACCTCACTTCTCATTAGCCATCAGCAACTCAGTCTCGGAAGAATACAGAAACCAAGTAGCTCACGGAAACTGCAGAACTGTTATCCTCATTCTTGTCTCAGCAACTGAATGCCCACTTCTCAGAATAGAAATCCACATGACAGGTTTATTTTTATAGTCTGTAATTCTAGGAACAAGAAAGCAGAAAGACGAACATCCTCAGACATTTTCCATCTCATTCCTAATGTTTACTATGTGCTTAATAAAATCCAGTCCTGTGGAAAGAGTTTCTTGATTTGTTTCTTGTCTGTATACTTTAACATTTCTTCTGGATACTGATCATTTCAATTATAGGAAACTGCAAGTTCCATTAAAAGGTCGTGGATGTTTTTTCTCGTTAAATCCAGGGTCTGTATTGTGAAATGAAGGGATTCCGTAAATCATGGTACCTTTCTCCACAGAACACATACATTTAAAGATGTTTGCAGATCTTAAAAAACGTAATCTGTTCCTTTGGCATATTAATGTATCTCACGACACCTTGATCTTTTTCCTGGTTAGTGTGCAGCACATGGTTGCTGGTTGAGGACTGCTAGACCATCCAGAATTAGCTTTGTCTCTTGTGATGCATTAGTTTAAGGCACCTCAAAGCGCTAGTGGGGGATGGTTTAATTAAAAAGGTACCTATTATTGCAGCTGTTTTGAAAATGAAGTGAAGCAGCACTTCCACTTGCCTTGCTGGTCCTCCTGACTGCGTTGCTGTGTCCCACTGAAATCGTTCCTAAAGCCCAGTTCATACCTTCGGCTGAATTTGCATTCCCACATGTAACAACCTCCGATAAATGTACTTTATCCAACTGGAACACTCATATTGTTATTCTGGAGCAGAAGGCTTGGGTGCCTAGGGTAGGGCTGAGCTGTAGGGCCAAAGAGAAATTTCCTTCCAGACATTTGTATTTCCCCATCATTGGTTTGCATTGTCAGCTTTGCAGTATTGACCAAAATTGGTGTCCTCCTGCTCTGCTTTTTGTTTAGTGAATGGATGTACAAACCCAGCGTTTTGTGGGCTTTTGTTTGTTTTTCCAGAACAACTTGGTCAAGACGTATTAGATTCCAGATCAGATCTAGACAGAGCCAATGCATGTAATTTAGTGGAACTTTCTCCTGAAGAAACACCAGTCGAAATTATGCTTGGAAAGGTAACGAATATTCTGAAATACAAACAAGATTTTCACTAGTCTGTGCGTACATAAGATAAATTGCTTTGGCTCTGATGGGAAATCCAGAAGTACTTGATCAATTTGAAGCCCATTAGACTTTGGTGTACCACAGGTAATTCTGAAAATGAAATCTCATGACACATTTGCCCTTTCTTTTGACATACAAAGACTTAACTTGAGCTGAAAGATTCTGTATACATTTGCATTTCCCGTAATTTAATGTATTTGCCCATATATGATGGAAACACTTGGGTAAAGTACATCACCTGATGTCACGGAGTCTTGCAGGGAGAAGAGACTCTGGTAAGATTCTGGCCATGCTGGTTGTGAAACCGTGTGTCACACCAAGTCGTTTGCCCACAGTAAACCTCCTAGGGAGCTACTAATTCTGACTTTTCCCTTTCTTAGTGTGTTCAGCCTAGTTACAAACTCAGTGTAGTAGAGTGTTTGTATAGTATGAGTATATATTGCTTCTTTATTTCAATACAATTTATAGCCTGCTAAGGTAATACAGTCATTTTCATTAACAACACGTTACTTCTTGTTTAGGTTACTGAAGGTGAAATTGGACCCTTCAGCTCAGTCAAACTTCAGGTTGTGTTTGTCCCAGCGATCCCCGGGCACGTGCGGGCAGAGTTTGTGATCACGTTTGACAACTCAGACTGCAAACCAGTGAGTGACTATGTGCAAGACTTGCTTCGAAACACTGTAGAAGAGTTTAAAATTGTCCTGCTTCTGCTTTTCCCAAGAATTAAAAGAACTCTGAATCCTATATTAGAAAGAGGAGAAGGAGGCAGAGGACAGATTGAGGTGCTGTGTGATTATGTGGTTCGATGGAAGATAACTCTGTTAGCTATGGCCCTACTTTCTGATGCTGTACAGTTATTAAACCTGCTGATTTGCTTAAATTTTATGCAAATAATGCTGATATTCCCATTTTATCAGACATCATCATGGAAAACGTCTAATATCCTGGAACCAGATACAAAAGTATTCTCCTCTATTTCCAGCCCACATAATTTATGTTCTTTTTGATATATCAGAATCGGAATTACTGAGCATGCAGTAGTGAAGCTGATGTGTGAAAGCTGGAAGAGATGACAACCTTAGTTACCACTGCAGCGTATTTTGATTCTATACTTTCTTGGAAGCCAAATTCTGCCTGGGAACAGTTCGCAGAAGCTTGCCAAAAGAATAAAGACAGCCTTCCAAGGAGCTCAGTAGCCCAGACTTGGCTCTCGCCGTGGGCACAGCTGGAGCGGTCGACACCAGGAGCTGTGGGTGCTCGCTGGAGGCTCCTGTGGGCACCCCCTTTCTTGGGATTGTCCTCAGGCTGGGCGGTCACTGATGTCACACCTCGGGTCATGACAGTAACGACAGCGCTGGGCTCCATTACTGTATTTCTTGGCTGCAGTCTCTTGAGTTTGAATTATGGCACATTTGCTTCAGCTAGATGCACTTTAAGAATTTCTTTTCATTATCACGGGCAGCGTGTTGTTCCTTCATGTTCACTGCAAAGAATCCAAACTAAGGTATAATTCTATAATTCTGGGGAACCCTAACATCTAGATTTTATTTTATTAATTATTTTCATAGCTTTGCCTACTTAAATAATCTGTTGTAATATAAAGAATGAAATATTTTACCCAGCGTAGTTTGTAGCAGAAATTCTTGCTCTGTCTAGATCAGTAAGAATTTGAGATAAAAATAATTATGCTCCTGATTTATGTATTGACAGCTGTGCTTCAGTGCCATCGGAGTTTCTGTCGATGTGCCAGTTTGGGTGCCCAATCCCAACGTTGATTTAAAGATCTGTATGTATGACCGACTGTATCAGGATTGCGTTGTCATTCGAAGCAGGTGAGCTGCCCTTTTGTTGTTAGCTGCCTTCTAGAGCTAAACAAAAAGCTCTGAAGTCTGAACACTGGTTCTGTTTGCACTGCACTATAAAGACAAAATTTCAGCTCTTTGGGCTCCAGAGATTTCATGCTATTGGAGAGGAGTTACATGAACTTTTTTAATTGTCTCCAGGTGCTGGGTGTCTTCCTTCTACCTAATGCGGTCGCCATGGAATGCTTATTTTAAAAATTTGCATTTCTTAGATTCTATTTAAATAGGATTGGGGTGGGTTTGTGGGAGGGTGGGGGAAGAGATTGGTTCTGTTGAAGGCATCCATTCTAAACCTCTTACCAGAATTACAGACTGCAGAGATTCTTCACAGTTGGAAAGAAATGAGTAAAGCTGTTATCTCAAAAATTCAGCTTACAGATATGACAGGCACAAGTTGTTATGTAAGTGATTTTACTTGGTCTAGATAACCCAGGGATAAAACTTACAAGTATAGAAGCAGAATAACTCTCCTAATGAAAATTTAAGATTTCAAGGGGACCCCGAAGATAGAAGCTGTCAAATTGCTTAGGACAAACCTTCTTAAACTCAGGAAAAATCCTGCTGATCCTTTGTCAAGTTTCACTAAATGAAGAGCACTTAATATGTAGGATAACGTCGGTAGTACCTTGGCAAGTCAAGTCTTTGATTTATCACCCAGTTTTCCATAGTTCGGAAAAACTGTCTTTGTTGTACAGTCCTTTAGGCTGAAATTCAAGGTATTTCATGGGCAGGAATATCATGTCTCAACTTTATATCCTGCACAAGTAGGTAGAGTTCATCATTCCGATGTGATGCCTGAGAAGTTCCTCTAGTAGTGTTGACATTTCATTCGTAGCATGTACTGGAACGGGGATTCCTCATTGTTATGTGGTGCGTGTCAAACCACTTCTCAAACAGAATGAATTTAAACTGCTGAAAATAGCAATAAATTGCTATCAGTCAAGAACAATTTCTTACATTCAGCTAGTAAGGAGCTGTGTCTTCACTGCAATAGTGAAAATCTGGGGAAAAGGAGCCTTGCTAAGGTCTGTGGTCTGGGACTGTGCACATGCAAAGGAGCCAGAGCCAGTCACCGGGGTAGCAAAGAAACATGCAAACTGCTGTCGACGTACAACCAAAGATAACAGTTCGTTACAGTGGCTTAATGTGTGAAGTGTGCATCAGCCAAAGAGCTCCTGCGGTGCTGTCTGTGAGCCGATGCTCCTGGGAACCCTTCACCTCAGGAGGCCAAGGGTAAGATTAGTGCAGCCCAGCAGAAAAGGCTGCTCCTGAGACAAGTGCTCAAGTGCCTGAGCCAGTGAGAACTAAAGTTCAGATCTGGTAGGTGTGAAATCTTATTAGCATAACTTCTAGAACACAGACGCTTTAATTAAATGTTACGTAGTTACTTAAATAACTCTGCTATTCACGAATATTCTTACAAATTTCTGCTCTAACTCCTATCTAGTTATAGGGAAAAAAGAAATAATCCAAACCAGCCTAAGACTTGTAGCAAGAGAGTTCTTTAGATTTTCGGGGCAAAATGTGACCCAGACATGAGGGTAATGATGTGCTGGAACAGCCTTTCGTTTGCCATCGGTACACACAAACATCTGACAGAACCCAGCTCTGAGGTGTTTGGATTTTTTTTCTGGTCACATAGAATACCGTAATTAGGAAGCATAAATAAGCGACATAAAGAAGGCAAGTGCCTTATCAGAACCCTGTCTAATATAAATCGCTTTGAGAAGTAATTTCTTTGGCAGGTTATAATCTGCGCTGATTTAATGAAGTAGTGTATAGTTCCCTTAGATTGTCAACAGTCAGAAATCATTCCAGGCTCCCGGCACCACATGCTGGAGCTGTTGATTTAGAGCAGACCATCTGGACTGACAGCTTGTACACCAGTCCAAGAGAAGGGGAATGACAAGCTGAAATATTTGTAAATTGCTGGGCAATTTTACACTTTAGGCGTAAAATTCCTGAGCAGGGTATGGTCTGTGGCTATTGCCGTATTGTGATAAGGCCAGAATTTAGTAAACAGGGAGATGTTTCCTAGCTCACAGCATTCGTAGGGCAAATTGTTCGCAAGTTTTAGCAGAGGAACTGGCAGTACCAGCTCAGCCACGCTGTGACTTCCAGCCCTGTAGGCTCGCTGCTGTTAGAGGAGAAGTTACAAGAGAACTGTGAATTCACGTCTATTTAAAAGAAGTCACCACCGTTTTGGGGAGAAAAACCAAAAGCAGCAGTGCTCTCAGTGCATTTCTGGCACAGGACAGCCCCTCCTTCTCAAGTTTGAGTTTTTTTCCTGCCTGTACAGGCTTAGTTTTTGATATTGAAGGTTTTGAGATAATTATAACCGTAATGAGGATGCATGGAGTTCCCAAACTGGGTGCGTGTTGGTGTTGTAAGTGTATCACGCTCCTTCAGTTTCATTCTTTTGGTTGTTCTGGGAGATGAAGTGCTTGTTAGCCACTTACACAGCATCTAGGTGTCCCTGGCCCAGCCCCACTCAGGGGTCACCGATCTTCTTTTTCCTGTTCTTCTGACAGAATAACATGTTTTTATTTGTTGCATCCTGCCCACCACCAATTGTTATGTCACCTTGCTCCAGCATTGTAAGAAGACTACTCCTGTTCCACCTTGCGTGGGTTCTTTGCTACAGCTGGGACCAGTGAGCATCTCGGACATTGCTTGGGTTGTTTCGCTCCAGCTAGAGGGAATGTATGTTAGGAGCAAATAATCAGCTGGCGTTTCACAATAATTTGGCTTTGACTTTCCCCTGACCTGACTTAGCACTGTGCTACACTTTGGTAATTATGTTCCAATCAGCTGTGTATATTGTTTGAAATACAGCTGGGTTTACTTACAGTACTTCCAAAATCTTGTTGTCTATACTTATCTTAAAAGAGAATACAACTGTGTGATTTGGCTGTAGCAGTTTCACATGCCCATCATTTTCAAAAGGAGCTTGGAATTGTTATAATTAATACAGAGCTGCAAGGGTGGGGGACGCAGCTCTGAGAGCAAATGCTGCTCAGGTGGCAGCACAGGTACCCTCAAAGCCACCGAAGCACGTCTGATCTGTCTGCAGGGCAAAGGCAGCGCTGCGTTTGAAGTTTGAAATCTGCAAAGACTTGAGTAAGCACATGGAGCTGCTTCCAAGAACAGGTTGCATTCAAGCTCAGTCATCCTTCAGCGTGCAGCTGAAGTTTCTGCCCAGGTAACCTAACAACAGCCATCTTTTTGGTGTTTCAGACAGTATCTGTAGGGGCTGCCCATGGGAAAATTGAGACGGTCAAAGTTTTTTTTCCTCCTTCCCACTGTAGCAGGCTGGACCTCGCACTGCTGGTGTCAGGGCAGTCCTAGTGTCCTCCTTCTCCCCTCCTTAAAAGTTGCCAGATGCTCAAGGAGGAAATGAACTTGGCTCACGTACCTGTGAGGAAATGCTTTTCCTGTGGTGACAGCAGCAGTGCGACTGTCGGAGCAGTTGCATTCCTGGTAGGCTGCTCCCATTTCTGTGGGGAAGCTATTCTTGTACCAGAGAGATGTTATCTGGGCAGGTGGCTACTTCACGGATCACTGATTAAGTAATTTCTGGACATGGACTCCTGGGCTTGCTAATTAAGGTAAGAATGGATGGACTTCCTGCTCTTATCTCTCCTACCCATGTACATTTTGCTCCAAAATATAAATGCATTGATTTTGAATTTCATGTAGAATTTTATATAATGTCTTCCAAGATGCTAAAAGCCTTATCCCAGCAAGTTTCTTTTCTCCATTTCATGACATACACAACCATAACTCAGTTATAGGAAACAAAGAATTCTAGGTTTTTAAAGATTTTAATACAAGAACTCCTCTTGACCACTGTTAGTTTTGTTTGCCTTGTCGTTGCCATCCTGAAGAATTTAGCAGGACATTTCTTTTCAAATATGAATTAAATTATGTACATTGCAATTCTGATGCACAGCCAATATTTTGTTGGCTTCTGCATGGATCACTGCTGCAAACCTGCTGCCTTTTTCAGCTGGATTATCCAGTCCCACTGATGTAAATGTATTTGGGTTTTCACTGATGTGCTCAGCATCTCTGGATTCTAAATTGAGAGTCTAATCACTGATTTTGAAATTTTCAGCAGGTTAGTATTGGAAGAACTGGAAGTATTTCAGTTCTTCCAACATACCAAATCCTATCAGAGTACAACAGTAACCACTATTATGACATTTTTCAGTTCCTAAACTTCAGATGCTGTACAACAGTGTTACAGTAACGGAGCAGATAGAAGCATAGCTTGGATTTAGAGCACTAATCTTCCTTTGAAAAATGGGGAAGCTTCAGAAAGGAGATTTGATGAGATTAAGGCATTTCTGACACATAAAAAAGGAAGCTGGCTGTTTCAGTGCACAGATCAGTTTCCAAAGACCTAGCGCACAGGGGAAGCGCGTGTGGGACGGCAAAAGAGGAGCTTGCTAAGGCTGACGAGAAGTCCTGAGCTAGTGACACATTTCTGTACGTGCCACCTCCTGGCCTTGGTGTCATAAGCTGTATTAGAAGCAACACAAAACAAAAGTAAAAAGAAACACTCAGTGTTAAGAAGCGAAGAGAAGACTGAAGGCTTGTGACGCTCTCCCAGGTACTGTGTGCGCACCCAAGTGCTTGGTCAGATGTTACAATGCTGACAACTCTCTGGCTGTTGGAAGCGATATTTTCTGTTTATTTGAAGGCAATTTCTGTAATCTGCTGACTTTCAGGATTCCCAAATACCACATCTTTTGGTTTTTCTGCATTTGGAACTACTCCTGCAGATGCTAGCAGTCTAAATCTGATTTTTCCTTTATGCTTCTCATTAATTGCTTTTAAGCATGAAGATGCCCTTTTCAGAGAATTATCTGAAGGATTTCAGTAGCTTTTCCCCAAGGCCGAAGAGCCAATTTAGAGCCCATCACTGTGTACGTACAGTTACAATATTTTTTTTTTCCCCTCTGGACTGCTTTATAATAGATTAATTTCTTCTGCTATTCTAATGGCAGTGAAAGCTGATACTTTACTCCTACCTTGTTTAAAGCTACGAACTGGAGCTGAATACAAGTCAGCAATACCTTTGAAGATCACCCTCTAAAGTCACGTTCCCGACTGGCAGAGTAGCAGTCAGCAAGGTTTCAGATCACCGTGGTGGCTGAGCAGGGGCTATTTATTCATAAACTGTTCTTTAACAAGAGATTAAAAAATGGCACGTAATTCCAGTAGTAGTAGTAGGAACCTTATCACTGTGGAGACCTAAGAGCAGGAAGCGTTTTGCTGGGCTGCTGGAAGACACTATATATAGTCCAGCAGAGCTAAAAATGCTCGAGGTTTTTTATTGTCTTGGCTTGAAGCTCTGAAATTGAGCTTATGACAGCAAGATGCTTCAGCTACAGAAAACCCGCGTATTTCTTATAAAGTACTAATCTGGTGCATGATCAGACACTATTGGTCTCCAGGTTTGTTTCGCTGTAGTTATGTCTCTCTGCTCTGTGTTACGATTGATTCTGCCTCCAAGGGGTAAATAGCTCCCAGCAATGCTGGAGGGAAACAGTTGCTCGGGTTGGGGTGGTTTTGTGCTGGGGTTGCCGCAAAGGTGCACAAGGCTCGTGTTCTAAAGTAAGCTTTGCATTTTTTCAGAGTTTTAAATGACTGGATGGCATTATAAAAAAGAATAAATGGAGGCAGACTTCTGTGTCTTAAAAAAAAAAAACATTAAAAAAATCCAACTTTAAGATATGAGGTGAATGACTCTAACTTCATTACTAGATGAAGGTCCATCAAAATACATTCCCCTTAATTAGAAAACAGTCAAAATATTGTTATGAAACTGAATGTACTTTTTTGATTTTAGACACTCTCTCCCTGAAGATGCAGGGAACTATTTTAATGAAGAGACAGGAGTTCTGGAAGTTCCAGTGTCAATACTGGTTGCGGATAAGGTCAGTGGTTAGCAGCCTGGCAAGAGCTGTGAATTATTTTAGTGACTGTTCACTTACTGATAGCAAATCTGAGATTAGTTCGTTACCAGCTGAAGTCTCCTGATGCTAGTAAACGGCACTGGAAGTGGTAACACAGATTGGGTAGTTTCTTCTTGTCAGCATGTTTACAGTAGAGAAAGTTAAATCCTTTTTAGGTGGTGCTCTTCTAGTCCCGAGTTTATTATTGTAGTTTATTATGTACCGGAGAGTTATCAGGTACCAGAGCACAGTCTGATCTGTGCTGCACGTGGAGCATATTCTTAGAGTTTATGTTTCCTGGAGATGCAGGTGGGATTCCACTCTAATGTATGGAATTTGAGATAAAGATACTTTTTTTAAATTTTATTTTACTTAACAAAAAGATGTTTCCTATTGCTTATTTTTGGAGAACAGGGAGGCTGAAATTCAAGATCAATTTGGTACATTTCCATGTGTTATTGTCAAGGAATAGAGTAGAATAACATCTTTTAGGATGATGTTTCACTTAAATCCTGTCCTTACAATGCTACAGACAGAAGCTTTTATCCTGTGCTTTTGCATTTGTTTCAGGCTACAAAAGTTAATTTTACCGTCCATGCAATTGTTACTACTTCTGATTTGGAAATCAGTCCAGCACAGATTGATTTTGGATACTGCACAATCTATGAAGCTGTGCAGGCAAATGTCACGCTAACAAACAAATCTATCTTGCCCCAAGAGTTTGGATTTGTGGGACTTCCAGAGGTATGTACTTATCCCTCCCCCACGCCTCTTCTTGAAACAAAATATATTTAATTATTATGAAAACCCTTCAATGTGAGTGTAAATAAATCCTGACTGGTTCTTGCAAACCCGTGGAAATGCTCCTGCCTGCAGCACTGTGGAAAGAGCCGGATTAGTTCTGGTGCTGTTTTGTGGAAATTCCATCGTATTACACCCTGAGCGTTTTCCAAGCAGTATCAACACCTTGGAGGAGATTTTACTTTTCTCACCTACATAACATTATTAGGCTGTGTTTATCCTATTAGACTGCCTATTTTTTTACACCAAGAAATCTACTAATGCAATACCTGGCGCACTTTTCTTTCAGACTTGCAGGTTGCTTGTACTCCAAAATAAAGCAGGCTTAGGGATGTTGCTTTGGCCTTGAGGCTGGGGAATTTCACGCAGTTTGTATCCAGATGTCGAAACGGTTTTTCTTTATAGCACGATGGCCGTGTCCAAGTGGCTTGTTGGGAATCGTCCCCTGAGCCATGCCTAGGTATTTTCTGACTTAGGGTCGTAAGCTGATGTGGAAGGTAAATTACTCAGAGGAGCTGCCGGTTTCAGATGGACTAGGTCTACTTTATTTTTTTGTTGTTGTTTTTTTTGGCAAAAAGTTATCTGTTCAAGCTTCATAATGGTGTGATGATCGCAGTGTGGTTTGGCATGTTGGAATCGGAGCCAGAGGAACGCAACATTTAGCTAGGCATTCTCCTTTTCTCCGCTGCTCTAAGGATTAAAATCTAGGAGAAAAAGAAACTGGTATCTTAGCTTTGTTAAAGCTTTACTTCACAGCACGTGCTTCATGATTAGCTTAAAATGTGATAGGGAGATGTCCTGGAATCATCAGGACACCTGTGTACATATGAACCTGGTGCTTGATGCTGCAGTATCTGCACATTGTGCAGGAATCGGCTCTTCCAAGATACAGGGGCACCTGCTGAGATTTTGACCATATTTCGTTCAGTTGTCTCTGAGGAGTACGGAAGCATCATTAGAGAAAGGTGGTTACCACAGGTGGTAAGATGTTGGGAAGAGATTCTACTGAGCTCTGAGGGAAGGGATTTAATGCCTTTCAGGCTGCTTGGAGAGGAGAAATCTGCATGTCAGCCAGCCTCTGGTCACAGACTCACATGAAAGCTTCTCACTAGAATGTTTCTGTTTTCCTGACATTTGTACGCTTCCATTACAAGATTTTCTTATCTTGCTAGTAATGCCTTATTTTAATCTATTGATAATTGTATAATGTAGCTAATAACTTTTTATTCTGCCATTTTGAAGACTGTTGAAATTCAACCCAATGACGGATTTGGGATTCTTCTTCCCCTTGAAAGCCTGACATTGGACGTAATCTTTAAAGCTAACAAGGCAAAAGAGTACAGCTTTGAACTCACTTGCAAGTCAGAAATTAACAGGTATGTTCAGGAACCGATTGAGTAGCGGGTAATCCAGAAGTCTAAATCCCACTGAGCTTCCACTGTTAAGCTAGTTCAGAAATTAAACCCCTGCCTACTTTGAGGAGGTAAGGCTAGGAGAAGCACGTGAGGCAGGTAGGAGTTCTCCAGCTGACAAGAGTTGCTCGCTGCCTGTTAGTTGCATTGCTCATACACGTGTCTGTCTTAACTGAGGTAACTTTTCCTGTCCCACCTGAAATTTGTCCTTGTCACATATCCAAGCTCCATGTTTGCCCCAGGTCGTCGTAACCTACAACGTTCTACTTGCTTTTTCAGCAGAATTACTGAAGGATTTTTTTTCCTTGTAAAAATACTTTGTACATAATGCTATGAAAATAATGATGGCATAAACTTTGATTTGACTGGATATGTTTCCAGAAGTTCACAGAGGAAGAATTCAAGCAGGGACTCTAGCCAATTGTGCATTAAAAATAGATAGTATTATTGTTCATCTTTAGGCAAAATTCCCATTGCAAGCTTGAAATTCTGCTTAAATAGGGACTACAGGATTAGTTCCCTATTTTCCGGGCTGATTAAGAGACTATTTTATGCTGAGACAATTTATCATGTGTTTATTTTTAGACAATTCAAGCTGTCATGCAAAGCAGTTGGAGTCCACCCACCTCTTGAATTGTCTCATTCCTTAGTTCGGTTTCCTGCAACAGCTTTGAACAGTGTGTCTGCAGCGGCGCTCTACGTGGTGAATCCCCACGTGAGTGTCAACCCGTTCGCTCACGCTGTCCCAAGAACTGGCGGTGGCGAAGTTGCCCCTGTTGGACCCACTTCCTTCGAATTCTGTGTGCCAGAAGACTGGCCCGTGACAGTTACGCCTTCTGTTGGAACTGTGTTGCCTGGGAAGGTAAATTCACTTTAAACGTCAAGCGTTCTGCCAAATCTGTTGAGAATCTACATCCCTGCAAATGCTGTCAGTTGTAGATGAAGCCCAAAACACAAATTATTATTAGAATTACTGGAATATTTTGCATTGTTTGAAATACTGTTTTAAGTTTGGCATGAGGTGTTAACCACCAGATCTGACTAGTCCTTTATGGGAGTTTTCACACTGAATGTTCTTTCCCCAGTGCTGTCATTGTGATTTACTTGAAGAATGTTTCGATATCAAAAATGTTGGTCATGTAAAAAAACCCCACTGGACTTCCAAAAAAAAGTTGCAAGTGACCTTATCCTTAGGATCATCTTATTCACTTGGAAAAAGAAAAGTCATTTTGTTTGTTAATTTTTTGCTGTCATGTGTATGCTCCGACCCATGTCCGAGGGCTGAATTTTGCCTGTCGTTCTGGTTTCTGCTCTCGCACTCCCAGAAAAGCTTGATTGAAGTGTCCTTCAGACCAGCACTGTCAGATCAGCTCATCAGAGAAGAGGCAGCTCGGCGGCTTTGCAGAGCAGCTGCGACAGGGGCAGAAACACAAGTGAGCGATGCTGAGAACTCGCACATGCTGTTGGTCTGTTACTTCCAGATACTTATTTCTCTCGAGGGTATTTTTGTCATAAAATTATTTGCATATTAATGAAACCCAAACTCCTGATCCGTGTAAGACCTGCCTGTAGAGGACGAGAGTACGACTGTACTGCTGCACTTGGGGTGTGGCGTGCTCACTGAGCACTAAGTTAAATTTCATGCTAACAAATTTGAAAGCGTTCCTAGAGGGTTTTCTTGTGAAGGCTAACTGCAAGTACTATTAAAAAAGAAAAAGTTTCTACACTTTTTGAAGATTTACAGCATGCATGGACTTTATACGCAATGCTGCCAGTCAGTTTATTTATGAGAGCACCTGTGATTGTCTTTAAATGTAAGATAAATAGGTAAAATTCCCGCAAGAGGTACTCATCTGCTCTAATAGGGGCACTCACTTTTAAGATGGGGTAAAATATGTCCATTTCAACTTAATTTTACGTTATTAGAAATATATGAAATAATTCCTGTGTCTGGCTTGTTACCATAATCCTTCTGCTGTTACCTTGTTCCACGCTCTTCGGTTCTGTATCCTCACACCAGGGACTGTGTATCTGTGAATCACTGACTCCAGTGGGTGACAGGTGGTGACCCTCAGGGTGTGATGTCTCTACGTGTGTGTTTGCAGAAAAGCAAGAAAGCTGAAAAGCGAGGGGGAAAGAGACCAAGCATTGCCGTGAGCAGACAGCACTCGTCCACTGGAGTCAGTAAATACCTGACTTCTCTAGAGAGTCCTGGGGAAACAAAATCCGAAGAGTTAAAGCCTGAGTAAGTCAGCAAAAGCATCTTGAACTACGTAGGCAACGTCCCCTTTAGAAGTGGTTTAATAAATCTACTAAAACCTATCGGCAGACAAGAAAGCTGACTGTGGAGAAGAGGCAGCTTTAGCTGTGTTGCGAAGGCTGTTTCCAAAATTAGCGCTGCTTTTAAGCCACGCAGCTGTACCCTCTCATGTGAGGCAAAGAATCCCTTTATGCATCAGAGGGATTGAAGATTTCAAAGAATATACCAGAAAGCGCGAGATGTGGCTGTATGGGTAAATTTGAACCAACAAGGGTATTATTTTAAAGGGCAGCTAGAAAGCTGGACCTAGTTCCTGAAAGAAATGACGACTAATAGACCTTTTCTGAGTAAGTCTAACAGAGCTAAATACATTCAACCCAGATTCAAACCATTAATTACAATTTTTAAATACTTTCAGTACGGATCATAGAAATAAAACTTATATCTGAAAACCCTCATTCTTATTCTGTCTGAGTGAGGAAAGCAAACTGCGTACTAGGGTGGGTCCATCAAGACAGTCCCTTAGTTTCACTGTTACATTTAATTTTGAATACACAGCTAAGAAGCAGTAGGCACAAACAGCTCAGTAGATATCTGTTTGTTTGGGGTTTTTTTTTTGTCCTTTCACTTACTGAGATAATTCTTATTCCTGGCTTTTCTAGTCCTGATGCTTACATGGCAGCCCAGGCTTTCCTAATGAGGAATTTCAGTGGGAGTTTTGAGAAATACATCATACCATGCTTTGTTGCAAGTGGATGTCTCGATGAAAAGAAAGGCTCTGAAAACCTAAGCTGCAGGTAGTTGCAATTAGGTATTTGTAAATCATGAAATTCAGAAATTTGAGGGGGAGGTGATGGGCACGTTACTTTTTCATTTGGGGAGGAAATTTGTTTTCTGATCTTCATTACTTCATAGGTCAGTGGTAGAAACTCATGCTTACAACCCACTACTTGGATAAGAACCAAACACATGAATGTCAAAGCAGCTTAAAGAATAATTGTGTGAAAAATTTAATAAGCCAGATGTAGTTCATCTTGCTGCTTAGGCATAGACAAAAAAAGTCAGCCACCAAGAATTATGTATTGTTTTGTAGTACCAGTTCTTCGGTATCGTGTGATATGAACAGAATAGGAACAGATTTCTGACAATGGTTTTTATTTATGTACAATACAAGAGTAAATGTCCTTTTACTATCTCCCCAGCCCTCACAACACTTTGTATTTGGAGTTGCACTGTCCAGCTGTAGCCCCAGCTGTTGTGGTCACTTCAGATAATGGAAGAAACACAGTCGATTTTGGTGATGTTGCAGTAGGTATGACATTTGAATTCAAGTTTTGATTTTTTTCTGTCTGACGTTAATTTGTTTTGAGCACAGTTTTGCATTTTCTTTTACATTGTTCACTTGATTTTCAAAAGTCACTATAGAAATTAACCCTGTAATAGGCTCTTAGATGGAAAATTAAAAGCCTGTCTGGCCAGCTGAGGCATGTAAAAAAGCAGACTTGATCCCAAAATGTGGAATCAGAAGCCCTACAAGTGACTGTCCAAATTGCAAAGTGTTTCGGTGAGCTTTGACTAACGTGTTGGCCGTAGAAAGGGAATGATTGTTTGGCTCAGGTGGAAACATGAGTTAAAAGGAGGGATGGGGGTGCATGAGTGAGCATCATCACTTTGTGAATGTTTTCATTCCTGTCAGGCCACAGAGCGATGAAGCGAGTTGCAGTACAGAATATCTGCCCGGAGAAGCTGGAGGTATCCTTCTTTGGAACATGCAAGTTAACCTGCCATTCAGCTGCTGCTTTATTTGACTCTTTGTCTGTAGGATGAACTGTTTGACACTAAAGCAAGTAGGAGGTAGCAGATTTCAGACTTGTTAGACATCCTTCTGAGTGTTCTTACATCTTTTTTTCTCCAATCTTTGTTTATAAACTTTTTTTCCTTGAGCTGCACTGGTTTAGCTAGCATTCTCGGTTCTGAATCCCAATGGTCCTTTCCTGTTGGTCACACCAGTTGGAATGCTGGAGCCAGGTGAAAACAAACCCCTCATCATCTCCTTTTGTCCAAAGGACAGTTCGTGGGTGAGTAAGAGATACAACAGTAACGGGGGAAAAGAGGGGAGATTTAACAGGCTATGCCATATGCACATCACACTGACCAGAATGAGGCTGTATAATAGTAAGGAATTTTTTTTTTTGACTGTGTGTAGCCCCTGCCAACATTTCCATCTTGGTCCATGCACTAAATCCAGAAGTTCTGTAGTTAATGGCCTGTTTGTGGGAGTGGGGTCAGCTGGAGGGGTGGGGGATGTTTCCGCTCAGCGAACGGGCTAACACAAACATCCTTTTGGCAGTTTTTTGAAATGCTGGACATCCGGACAGCAAAAACCAATCTAACCCTGAGTATCACCGGTCGTGGGGTGGTGCCATCAACTGTTTGCTCTGTGGAGGAGATACTCAACATGGGATATGTCGTAGCCAGAGAGAAGGCGACTTCCACATTCAAGGTAAATCCCTCTGTGCTGAACTAGAAAGCACATCAGCAGTTTTCGTGAGGAGGAGGAGGAGTTCCGTAGTTTCTAGCCCAGTGGAACGTAAGGCTGAGCGGCAAACTGCAGACTGAAGAACGAGGCTTTAAAAGCACACCTGGCAGAGTGCCTTGGGACCGAGGCAGTTTCAGGCCAAAGGTAACACAGCTGTGCGGGGAGGATGTTTTTAATGAAAATGCTGTTGTGTGAATTAATGTCGTCAGGTACAGAACACTTGCACGCTGGCCCTGCCATACTCCGTACAACTAGATTCACTTTCATCAACATGGGACAAAGATCGGCAGAGACTTCCATCCTTCATTACATCCTCTTCACAAAGAACAGAGTTTGTTGGTAAACTTTGTTTTTTCTTTTCTCTTTTGTTAAAGACTCATGAAATACAGAGCAGCATTACTTTGTCCTGGTAGATCTACGCAACTGTCAAAACCTGGGACATCACATCACTGAACTTAAAACATAATTTTGTTCCCCCGGTAGGAGATGTACTCACTCTTTCAGTATGGGTCGTAATTAATCCACAAGAGCAAATATCCGCAAGTGAGGAGACATTAGGGTTTGAATCTCAGTAAACCCACACAGTAATTGCATATTAAAGATTATATTTAGGGATGTCTGATGGGTTTGGAGATGCTTCTTCAGTTCCTCTGGAGTTGAACACATTAACTGATAGATGGATTTATCTGTTTTTTCTAATGCCCTGTGTTCCTGCAAAACCATCTATCAGGTCATATTTATTTGGTGTTCCAGTAAAAATCAAATGGATTTAAAGTATATGAAAAAGTAAATTGGAGCTGTCCTCCTTTCTTATTTGTATCCTCATTTTTATTTACCAGGAACACAGAACTACAATGGCTTAAGTGTGTTCAGCATCTTTCCAACGGAAGGAGAAATTCTTGCTGGGAAGAGTCAGGATTTTATTGTTACGTTCAGTCCTGATCATGAAAGCCTGCACTATTGTGACCGTCTCAAGGTTGTACTCTTTGGCAAGGTGAGACAATCAAGATACCTGGGTTACGAAATCAAAGTCTAAATACAGCCCACAGTGAATTCTATTGCTGTGGGTCTTCTTAGGAGTTTTGACTAATTATAGCTAGTGGACAGATCTATGACAGCGTTTGTAGGCTGAAATATCCTTCATTAAATGAACTGATGGAGATAGGAGATGGCGGGCTTGGGGCCAACTGACTCTTTTTCAGGTTTTAAATATTAACTCATAACAATAGCAATTTGAGATTCAGTCCTGTCTTCTGCCCAGCTGTCCGCACTGGGGAAATGTGAGGTGATGGGAGCGCGGTTGTCACCGCAAGGCTGAGCTCAGCTCCGGGTGGGTTCTCTGCGAGGGGCATTTAATAGCACCGGAGAGCGGAGCTACCCCTGCGCAGTGCAAACTGCCCAGCACCCCGAGTGCCGGTAAGCCGCTCCTGCAGTCGCTCAGCGTGAGGAAGGAGGTTTCCATCTGTAGAGCAGCAGCTGAGCTCAGGTGGAGCCCGAGTCAGGATATGCAGGCTGGCGGCACAGCGGGTGGCGTCTGCCTTGTTCCAAAAGAGGCTGACCAAAAGTTAATGAAGAGTGCCAACTAATGAGCAGCAGCAGCACTGCAAACCCAGAGCAGAAACGGGTAGGGAGCAAGGAAGCATCATTTCTCTCGAGTTTTGTATCTCCGGATTACGTTTGGAATTGCAGTTAAGAATGCAAACTGTAAGAAGCTGAAGGGGAATGGAGACTGGTCTGAGCTCACAAGCTGGGCCAGGTTTGGCAGCAGACAGGTTTTGTGTCTTTCAGAGGCTTTAATGGAAATAGTTTGTCCAGTCCGCTCTTGAGGCACATTGCCCAAGAACAAAAGGTTGTTTCAGACAGAAGCACCTGTGTGGACAAGACAAGGTGGGGGTGCAGGATTTCTGCACTGGAGTGCAGGGCCTCTTGGCATTTGTCTGGGTGGGTGATGGAATAGTTTCCGTGACCCCAATGCTGTTGGGGTGATATTCCAGTTACATCCGTCCTGAAGCTGTGAGTTGCATTTGAAGCATTCTTGTCTTATACAGAAAACAGCCCACGTGATCCACCTAAAGGGTGCAGCGAGGGATCACCCGATGTTTGTGGAAGGGGGAGTTCCGCTCGATGTGCCCGTTGAGTCCTTGGCTGTAACGTCACCTGTGGCTCCGCTGGGAGCACTGAGAGGAGGTAACGTGCTACCGCTTACACTTCCTTACAAAACACTGGGTGTTAAGACGTGGGCATGTTCCTCATCCTTTAAGAAAAAGTAAATTAAAGATAACTTTCCCAGAATCAGAACCAATTAGCCTGTGTTTGTAACACACAAAAAAGGTAAGTGTGGAGCTTTCTGTTATTAAGGAAGTATTTTCTCTTCATTTTAGTGCAGTTATATCTTAATGATAATGACGATCAGCTATGTTTTGGAACTTGCCTCGCAAAAAATTATTATAATCACTTAGTTTTGAATGTCTCAAAGTTCACTTGATTCATGTTTGTTTAGAGCTACAAGAACCAGTCAAGTCCATTCTCCTCATTCTGGAGTACATCGAGGGAGAGAGTTCTCCAGTGCCAGCAGTGACGGAACTGAAGGTTGGAGGTATACGGACAGCTCAGTTTCCGTCTAAGAAGGTGAAGACAATAAAAAGTGCAGTTTAGAGTCAGTCACTGTAAGGATACTGACAGTGCACAAATGGTTACTAGTTCTTTCTGTCAAAAATATAGTCTAAAAATGAAAAAATATAGCTTTGGGGGGTTCTGATAAACTTTGCAGAATAAAAGCATCAATGTTTGAAAATAAGAGATTATTTCTCCGGAGCTAATAGAAGGAATTATCATGATGATGTTAAGACAGCAACAAAATCAATTTAGCAGTTTGTTTCCCTGATTCTGAAATGCAGAAGTTTCAGCACGGAACTAAATTACAGGTCTGATTGTGTTATTTTAGTGTAGGATTTTGTGACCCTGGCGGTGACGAGGGTGTGCTCTGTGTGTCTCCTGCAGAACGTGGAGTTCAGCTTGGACGACCTGCCTCTCCTGCGGCAGAAGGGCTTCTCCGTGGAGCCTGCGAAGGGGACTGTTGAGCGTGGCCAAGTAAAAGCCATCAGTGTTTCGTGGGTGCCACCTGCTGACTTCACCGTAAGTTACAGTAGCTACAGCGCGTTGCTGCTGACATGGGAAGTGTGTGTTAGACTGGAAGCAGCTGTTTTTGCCGACTTTTAGGAGCAAGACAGAAGCTGTTCTGGAAGGTGTCAGCGGTGCAGGTGCTGTGACACGTTAGGATGTCAGAACACAGGTAGTTCCCCCAGGGAGTGTAGGCTGGTATCAACACTGACAGGAGAGTAAAGGCCAGGAGCAATGGGTACGATCGGGAGGCTCGCGACCTCACCACCGACTTCCCTTGGTCCTTTAGTCACTTGCATCTTACAGAACATGGAATAACTTCTTACAGGTCACTGCTGCTCTCTAGAGCATCGAAAGGCCAAAATACTGCTGCTGTTAACTAAAAGACACAGCTTTGCTCACCCTGAGGTGAGCTTCTAATGCGCCCGGTGCAAGAAAATCTGCAGTCTGGCTGACGCAGAGCTGAGGTGGATCATTCTGCCGCAGCGGTCACATTTCTTTTGGCTCTGGGCTGCCTTTTCTTCGGTATATTCCTGGAAGTCAGTGGCGCCTTGTTAATTTTCCACTTCTATGAGCTGCTTTATGAGCCCTGTTTCCCTGGCTGCTTCTGCCTTTTTGTAGTGCAGAGCCTAAGTATGAGGCCTGAACATCTCTACAGAGGTGTGATTGCCTTTCCTGATTCAGCCTCTTGGACATTCATGGAGACTGAAAAATTTACTCGTCTGCTTTTTGTTGGGAGCTGTGTGTGGGATGGCAGAATGAGTAGCTTGTTCTAAAATTAAAATATTGCTGCTGTCACGTGCAGGAAGAAGGCAGTAGAGTTCCAGGCATGATTTATCAGGTTGACATCGTGATTCTTAGTAACCACTGGTTGTTACACAAGACTTAACACTCACTGATGGCCAACACGATGCGTTTCTTTCCCAGCCCTTCTTTCAGCGTGCCCTGTTGTTGCTGTGCCCAGTTGTCGTGGTTGTGATGTGGTGACGATTTCTGTAGCACTCTGGAGACAGAATGCTTAGTCACTGCTACTTTACTTACTGCAGCCTGAGCGTTGTGTGGAAATACCTAAGAGCAAACACAGTGGGAAGAGAGGTGATCTCTAGCTGTGAAGAGGTACACCTTGTAACTGAGATGCAAAATAGGTAGTTTAGAACTTGATCAACTGGTCTGTACTGTGTACACACACAAAACCAGTTGGGTTTATGTGTGTTTCTTTTTTTGTAGGCCGATGACCCTCCGCTTGTGACAGCCCTCCTGACCTTAAGTGGTGACATTAAGGAATTTTACCGAATCCTCTTCACGGCAAAAGTTGTGTCTGCATGAGCTCCCACGGAGTGAGGGAACCAAGCTAAATGGAAAGGAAGATGAAAGGTTCTGTTACTGGGACATCTTTGGCTCTCAGTTGAAACATGGAAAGATTTTGAGGTTGTTGCAAATACAGGAAAGGGAGCAGGAAAGCGGGAAGGAAGGTGACATGTGATATTCCTGCTTTTTTCCTCACAAAACTCTATATAAACTCTGGTTCCACTAGTTCCATTTTCAAGCTGACTCTGTGACAATAACCTTATGGTTGAAGACAGAATTAATGAGGGGACCAAGTAGCTGCGTGTGCTGTTAAGCCCAGTCCTCCGGAGGTGGGCATTCCCTCGGGAGGAGTGTCTTGTTTGCATCTACGTGGCCGAGTTTAGAACAACGTATCTTTTTCCAATTTCAGATGCATTTCAATGAATTTGGATAATCTTTGACTTTTTCCCTCTTAAGACCAGAATAAAGTTTCTTATTCGGGTCTCCTCCAGATCGTTTGCGCAGTCGTTTTCACAATACACTGTGAAATCTTCCTGATGACACACAGTCAACATGGAAATAGTGACCGTGCTGGTCACTGAATCACTGGCTATGGTTAGATATTTGCCCTGCATTATGGTTCTCCAGGAACTTCACATTTGTACATGTGCTTTTCTCTGAATTCTGACTGTGAGTAGATTTCTGTGTTACTGAGGAAGTAGGAGTGCCCTGCAGGTTTAATTTCTGTCAGGAAGTTACCAAACATCTAGAAACATACATAATCTTTCAAACCTGATCCCACAGTCTTGGAAGTTCGAGGCAAAGTTCCCTCCCCACCACTCCAACAGTGTGTTGCCATTTGGCCCTGTGTAGCTGTTGAAATTACTGATCTAGGTTTTGCACACTATTTGTAAATATCTCAAAGGTAAAATGAGTCAAGCTCTTTGGACTGCAGGAGAAAGCAGGAAAGCCGTTGTCACAAGAAATACTTTAACTAGTTTCCCCCTTTTAGAGAGGAAGCCTCTATAACTGATGAAAAGAGACTCCTTGTTTTTCCAGAGACAGTATGCTTGATCCATTCAGATCTGTTCTCGTTTAATAATGGATCAAGTGGCTGTGGAGTTACTTAACTCTCCAGTCTAAAGCACTACAGATGCCGAAGCAATAACAAGTCACCCCGGAGGAGGCAGGAGCTGGGAGGGGGAGGCAGTGCCAGCCCGAGACAGCTCGGCCCTTGGAGGAGAGGCTCTGAGTGCTCCTGTGGGCACAGCTGGGCTGCGGGGCTGAAGCAGAGGACAATGAGGTTTGTGTGCTTGATTCCCTTCTGGTCCTTGCAGCCCTAAAAGGGAGATTAAATACCACTGAGAAAAATGAAACTCTTGCAAATGGTCCTGCACGTCTTCCACTTCATAGAGGTCAGGTACTGTGAAAAAGCAGCCCAAGGATTAAAAAAAGGAAAAAATGTAACGAATAAACATAAAGGCTGTGAAATGCAGAAGCTGCTTACAAAATGAAGAAGGCTTAGTAAGCAGACAGCGGCTGTGTATGCGAGAACTACCTGGTCCAACCAACAGTACTTGCTTGGATGCCGAATCTGAAGGACTCGTTACCATCTCGGAGAGCTCTGGAGGCGCCCATTGAGTTGTAGAAGTTGAAGGCCAAGCAGGCGGCGTTGTACTGGCGCATTCAGAAAGTTAACCTGGTTATAAAGAGCAGCTTAAATCGTTGTCTGTACTGGATAGCGTAAAAGCTAAGCCAAGGGTATAATCTATTTTAACCGCAGTCTTTAGACATGATCTTGAAAACTCATATGAATAATTTTGCAGTGTTGAAGTGAGCATAAGGTTCTAGGTTTCACTGGTCACATTTTCTATGATGAAAGCTAAATGCGTGTTCATTCTCTCCGGGGGGAGTGTTGAACCGTGATAATAAGAATAGGTTGCTATTTCTGGAGTACTGAAAATAAAGCAAAGCATGCCTGCAATACCCCAGCTGACGTTCTGTAAAGCACTTATGGAAATCTGAACGGCTTTTATTCTCTTTGATGAGAGAAAAGCCTGTAATTTTATCTCGGGCCTCGAAAGTAATCATATTTGACTTCTTGGGGGCAGAATGGCTGATCCTAGCAGCACTGGGTTTTCCTTTCTGATTGGATTGGTTTTGTTCTTTTGGCATACACAGCTCAATGTGCCCGGCTCTCGCACTTGAGCAGTGGAGAAGCTGATGTGAAAGGGAAAAACAAATTGTCCAATGCAGGAAAGCATGTCCATTGTAAAACTTTTTGCAGGCATGTAGACCCTGCTTCTTGATCTAGATCACAACTAAAACTTAAAAAATGTAGAAGTAGAATTACTTTTCTGCAAAACACAGCCCTTGGATGTTCCATTCAAATGAGATTTAACGCATTTCACTAAGGGATAGGAAACAGTGGGATCCTTTCCAGACGGAAACAACTAATCCTCTGATATATTTGCTGCAATTTTGGGGGTTGACTTAGCATTTAAGAGGAGTTTACCAATCTAAAGTAAAAAGGTTTCCCTTACTAGACATCTGACAGAGCTGGTTTCTTTGCCTAAGCTGACTGAAGTGGAAAAGCCGGTGCCTGAACCCTGTGGCAGTTGTACACTCTTTCTTCGCTGGGACTCTTCACTTGTCTAAAACCTCTTGCTGATGGGTGTGGATGTTGAGCAAGCAAGCTAAGGATTCAATAATAGAACTAATTTCTAAACCAGAAATAACTAAAATGATTTCCTTTAGATTAACATAGTCGCTTCTGCTATATTCTTGGTGCTGATCCTCTTTAGAATCTTCCCAACGCAGATTTGCACTGACCTGAGATGCACACCGTCCGTCTGCTCAGCATTTAGGGATTCTATGTGGATGCTTCTGCCTGAACAATTCTCACCTATAATGTACACAAAAATAGCTTCTCGATCTTTCTCCAGTAAATGAAACAGAAAATTGACAGATGACTGACTGCTGGAAACAATTCTCCTGCTTATTCAG